CAATATTTTCATGGAGCCTTTAAGGTCTCGTGGATAATTACAACAAAATAAAATTATACGACAAAAACAGTGGTGTTTTGTAAATATAATAATAAACGGGAAGTCACTGTGTAACTTTATTAGCAGCGTCCTCCTGAAATGCGCCAACAACACTGAGAGTAACGTCCTCCTCTCTGCCCCTTAATGCTCTCTGGTCGCTACGGTAACATGTAAATATTTCTTTCAAAATAAAACTCAACTACAACACGGGAAATGACCCAGGGACTCTGAGTTAACGATAAAAACTCTGAAAACCATAAATTTCACAGCCGAGCCTCAACTCTCCCGGCCCGGTACCAAACGACTCCCCAACCCCCGGGCCACAGACCGGGGGTTGGGGAGTCGTTTGGTAGTTTGGACTACTGCTGCTGTAGTCCATTCTAAACTTGTGCACATCTACAGTCTCGTCCTTTGACATGTTTTTCTATTTTAGAGATTAGTCCTCCTTTAAAATACGGTCATGCCATAAAGCAGGAAGTTGCTGTGAATCCAAAAAGCATGTGGGATGGTTCAGTTAAACCATGATCACAAAGAGAAGTTGTATTTTTAGAAGAGCGATGTTCAGACTGTTCGGCACGTCGCTGGCTCGCTCACTTCACTCTTAGCCTAAACTCTTCTCGGGTGAGTCTGTAAGCAGCTTGTGGATCAGGCGTTGCTGCCTCACAGCCAGTAGACTTTTACAACCTGCTGGAGCTCATACAGTTTTTCATTTCTTCCATTTCCTGTTTTTCTCATTTAATTTCCTGTTGCTGCTGCAGCAGCTTTAGTAAATACAAGTCTTGTTCCTGATCAGTTCACACAACTTACCGAGACCTGACATCAGCACAGACATCGAGGAGTTACTGCCAAGGTCTACAGGCCGAGTCTGAGGGCCTTCGTATTAAGTGATATTTCCTCTTGTAAAGTTAAGTGAAATCAAAATAACAAAAAAGAGATTCAAAGGACCAGAAATGGAGACAAACTGATCACAGAGACGTTAACCAGTGAAGACGCAGTCACCGTAAGTGGATGTGGAAAGTTCTTGAAAGAAGCATGAAGCAGATGAAACGTGGTTGCAGACTGAACGACCACAAGCTGACACGAAACAGCCGCAGAGAAACACACAAAGATGTTGGAGATGAGAAGGCACACAAAACGAAAACAAGGATGCAAAATGATACTGAAGGATTGCACAGAGTCTCAAAACGACCACAAACACTTCAAATGGACTGAAAGGAGACACAAAAATAAAACACTGCAAAACCACCACAAAGACACAAAAGAAAAGTTCAACATAGACCAGAAACACATTTCTGTCATCTGTGGACCTTTTTTTCTTTGCATGCTGCTCAAGTGCCATCGTGTCATAATTCATCCTCGACCACAGATGCAACAACACATCCAATCATCGTGGAGCAAAGTCGCTCACAGAGCTAACCTCGCTGTTACTGTAGAGCCGAGGGCGGCAACCTTTCTGATGATGAGTGCCATCTAACATTTCAGTGTGCCGTATGATTGCATTAGCAATAAATGTAATAACGCTCTATATTAACAGTTACACACTATATAGAACCACTTTATAGAATTATATTTGTTTGCAGATGTTTGCAGCTGTCAGCGAATAGTTATCAGCTATTTTGAAACAAAAAAAGACTTTTTCTCCATAACAGCAAATGAACTGTACAACAGAAAATGCAAATGCTATTTATGGTCTCCTCACAACAATGATAAGAAAAATAAACTGGGCCAATATGACATGTTTGTTAATGCAGAGACACACATGTTAATGTGATCTCTGGTCTCCGAGTGTCCAGAATTCAGAGGCTACCTGAGGACTCGTGTGAGAGAAAATCTGCTCACACAGACATGTAGAGCTAAATACTGTCAATAAGGCCTCTGCAATGTTCTGAAGAGTTAAACCTGTCAGGTAGTGATGTCCAGCAGGTGAACACGCACAGCTGTGGATTCCAGCTGCTTCGTAGTTCTGCAAACTTTGACCCCACAGAGTCGAGCTTTTCAGTTCAATCAGCTGCATTTCGATGTCCTCTGTGTCCAACCAGTTAATGTGAGACAAACCCAGCTGCTCATTAAAGCTTCTGGTTTCATCAGAGAAGAAAACATTGGTCCAAAC